AAGAAAGTAGTACATGTATACAGAGTGGATAGTGCAATTTTCAACAATTCCATGCTTCTTTTCAGGTTAATTGTAGCTTTCAGTGTATAAAAGAATTTTAAGTGCTGTTTAAAGGAGATCTGGTTTATTATTTTTAAAGTTGCCCCCCCCCCAAGTTTTATTGTCCCACACATTCAGTCCAGAGCACCTGGGAACACAGTGATTTCCATGGAATGTATGCCAGCAATCTTTCAGTTCCAGACGCCCATGTAGCATTTTATACTTCCAAAACTGTCAAATAGGAGCCTACTATTTAAAACATCATGCATTAAAAAGAAGTGCCAAGTCTTAATTAGCATAGCATCTAGATTAAGACTGAGATTTTACACTACAACATACCTAACTGCCTCATCATTTTGAAATTTATGGAACAACGATTACACCACAGGCCAAAAAGCAGAAGTTTTCATAAGAACTGCAAACTTTTCAACCCCTGCGTGATAGTACAACAAATAGGCATTTCCAGAAATACCAGAAGTTAGAGCTGGCAATTAGCATTGGGAAATCCCAGCGTATCTTGGCTTTGCTTCTGACAATAGCTACAATTTCTGCTGAACTGCACAGTCAATTTTCATTTTAAAAGACACTCTACTATTTTAATTATTCAGTATTGAAGATATTTGGAAACAAATCCCAATTCTAATCTTCCTCTTGTCCAGTCAACAATCTAGCAACTGGAAGAAAATTGGTCATTGTCAAATTGCAAGACATGTTTTTCAGCTGATCTTCAATACTTGCAGAAAACGGTTCTAAAACTTTTCAATCATTTGCCCGCAGATAGAAGTCAAAGAGTAAAGACAGTCCAACCCATCAAAAAGCCTTCACACAACATGCTTTTTCTAGAGTAATCGAGAACACAGTTAAAAACAAATTACCTAAACAGATCACCTAGGTTCCCACAACATCTTAGCATCAAAGAGCTAGATATTTAAATATGTGTAGGTGCCTAAAAATGTTGATGAGCATCTTGCCATACTTAAGAAATAGACAAAACATGTTTAGACAGGCTTAATATCTTTGCACATTTGAAAATCCTCTTGGCCCTCATCTGCCTGTTTAAGATTCTAGATGCTTTTGAAGTCAGGCCACAAACTGACTAATTATTACAGAAAAAAATCCAATCTCAAGTAAGAGGTCTAATAAGACATCAGTAGCACTGTTCTTATTTTAATTGGATTATTTCAAACTCTGCTCTTCCAAGCAGAAACAGCGAAGAACTTCTGTTTTACTGGGTAAGATATTCATGCTCTCTTGTGTGAACCAGCCACAGACAGCATATAAACAAATTCAAGCTCTGAAGTGATATGATAGTTCCCAATACTACCACACCAAGTTTTTCAAGCGTTATATGTAATAGTGTCTTGCAACTATTAACATGGTCGTCTTTTTAGGTTGTCAGCTTTTAAGTGTTACTAACAGTAGGTTTTGAGCTTGATAATGAGGAGAAAGAGGTGAAGAAAGAACAAAGAAAACATAGCTTCTCAGGCAGAAGAGACTAGTTGCTTTGTCAAGACTTAAGAGCAATTTCTGTTGTTTTATCTACAGACTCTTGAAGTATGCACATCCACTACTTAGCTTCCAGTCCCAGCATTTGCTCCCACCTAGGCATCCTGTTCACCTATTTCTAGACTACAAGCATACTCCTGTTAACTGCACATCACACTTTGACAATACTAATTTGTGACAGAGCAATAATTTAATTCCTCTGCTCCAAATACACATGTACACATGGCAACAGTCACACCCAGGAAGGATCTCACAGCGATTAAGTGTGGCAAGGAAAAAAGATTCTCCAGTTAATCGAGCTGCCTGCACACCCCGAGAGTGAATCAGGTGAGGTACAAGGATGCTGAGCAGCAAAAGACTGAAGTGGAGTCACTCCCATCTAAGAAGTCATGTTCCCATCTCTCAGCTGTGGACTATATCAATTCTGCTAAATACCAGACCTAGCAGCCTTATTTATCTGTGTGTTCCTGTAACTCCTTTGCTGGCATGCCCACCCCTATGCTTTTTAGACCAATAATCTCAGGGTGTGATCTGACAATGTAGCTAAGCCAAGCAACAGCTGCAGAAAAGGATGTCCTGCTGTTCCTCCTACCTTCACCATTCCTCTCAGGGCTGATCCTAAAGTGAGACAGAGCACGGAGTTAACCAGCTAAAACGCACCCCACATAGTAATTTTGCATCACTTTATGTCCCTGAACTGACTCACTGCAGAGTCAGATACCTGCAAAAGCAGAAGGGCAGGGATGAAAGAAGAGGGAGAAGGGACTCCTCTTTTGGAAGCTGCAAGACTGGTGTAGCTATAGCACCAAAGCAAAGCCCTGCAGCAGGGACATGGAGACACATGTGTGACTATCAGCAGTTGTGCCCACTTTCAATTCAGCCACTCCAGAACAGCTGAGAGAGCTTTAATACATCAGTGAAGTTTCCTACACAGTCTTCATTACAGCATACAGTTTTAGGGTATCAGCCTTACTGCTGGAGAAGTGTTTGTGTAATTCCTGTTTCTCACACACACCCTGAAGACTTATTCCTACTCCTCCCTCTCTTCCTATTTTTTAATGCTAACAGTGAGGCACAAGAGAAGGGTACCATTCTTTCCCCCAAGACATCTTCAGTTCTACAAAATAAGACATTAAAGATTTCCTCCAGAAAGAAACACAAGGGAGGTGGGATAAGAAAAAGAGTCCCTCCATCCCTGCTGACTTTACCCTTATCCCCAGTCCAAAAGCAGTTACCAGATCTTATAAATTGAGACACAAATAAGCCTAATTCCAATTAAAACCACCTCTCTTTCTCCTCCTCACAAATTATAGCTAAGGGCAGCTTCTGGAAACTAAAGAGAAGGAAAATTTTCCTTGCTTATCTTGCACAAAATATAGAACAGCTCCTGTTGGCTGTTTTGAATTATGCCCTTAAGGTTTGGCTTCAAAACAGAGGAAACCAGACTGTCATGGATTTAGACTGCTGTGCTCTTAGAGCTGCATATCTAAATTTTAGGTATCTGAAAAATCCTTTGTGGTCAACTTTGTCTCCAGCCAGTAGACAGCAGTAGTATCAAAACAGCAATTACTTTCAGACTCCACTTGGTTTTGGAGAGAGACATGAGCGACTTATCAAGGATAGGTATGTAAGTAATAAGTGAACCAGTGCAATTTATAACAGTAGGTGGACTAGCTGCAGCAAGATCTCGTTGCATCATGCATGTCACTTAGCCTTTGCTCTAGAGCAGCACCCCAGCCAACTAGCATAAAAGTGTGAATGAAGTCATCCTAACACTTCCATAATACCAAGTGTGTTCATGTATTAGCCAAGGGACTGTTCTCATTACTCAAGCAGATGCCTATAAAAAGTTGTACTAGTGTAGGTGAACTCAAAATACCAATTGCTGCTACTCATTGCAACAGGAGCAACCATCTCTGCCCACAAAATTCTAGCAGTTATAAACTGAATGGCACACCAGAGACTTGTGACATTATTTTTATTTGTTGTGAAGTGGCACAAAACACTGGCTGACTCAGTCTGTTGACTAGCAAAGGCCAAATGCTGCTTAAGTAGTTCTAAGTGTTTCCTTCTGCTCCCAAAGGTTAGGTTGACATATTTATCTCATTGATAGAGGTAGTTTTTTTTAGAAAAAGCTCTTGCTAAACTGAAGGAGTAGAGCATCCACCAGTGCTGCTGCTAGGAAGCCAATACAGAACCTGCACCAAGTGCTAACCTGTAGCTGAAAAGACTTTTTAGGCAGTAACCAGCACATCTGCAGATTATACAACAGCACTTCTGCCTTCTTCCCAGTTACTGAAGTGCATTACAAGCTGGCTAAAGACACAACTCTAATGGTGTGCCATAAGACCATCTTTACATCAAAGCACAACCTGCACTACTCCTGAGTGCAGTGTGTAATTTTATTCCTGAACATCAAAACTTCTGAAGAAGCTTCATTTTCAAACCTCATGCATCTTCATCTAACATGGCTGCTCTAGGACCCTGTGGGTCTAGACATGACAAACAAAACATCACTTCTGTCAAAACAGCACAAATTTAGGATGAAGGATGGAACATCACATTCTTCACAGATCACAGAGATTTGTTACAAATTCCAAACAAAATCTGGAAAGTCAATTAGATACAAAGTCACCTACTTCACTGACTGCTCACTCACTATCAAATAAGCATTAACATTAGCATGTGACAAAAAACTGGAATGAGCAGCAGCAGGAAAAGAAAGACTAGAACAGGACTAGACTACGGCAGTTTCGCTGTTCCAAGGGAAGCATGCTTACTATACAACTTCAAGCTTGGGTCTCCACAGATACTACTACTACTAGCAAAAGGCAATATATGATGTGCAACCTAGTCTCTCTAAATGCAGTTCTGAAGACTGGTGACTAGAAATTGACTGGGTCCTGTAGGACCTCCACATTTACATCTGTCTCCCTTGCTGCTCAAGCGTCATATCCACCCTTCTTGTGGCATTACCACTGATAAGCCACAGCTACCCTAATTGCACAGCTGGTTCCTGTATTATTGCTGACAAAGAAACCCTGCCACAGACTGAGGAGTTCTTTCGTTAAGTGCTCAAACGTCACACTGATAAGAATGATAGTATGCCTAGACAGAACTATGATTGGGTAGTAAAGTCCTTACTAGGCTTTAATGCTATACCTGGAACAAAGTTTCAGTCTGGGCACCAGCATACTCAACATAAAGTTCTGCAGACCCCACACATGTGCATGATTCAGTTATAAGGAGCAAGGTAGTGAAATGCCATTAATTTGCATAACAAAGAATTGCACTCCATCTTGAAACAGCCTAGTCCATACTGTACTCAGCTGTTGCCTTTGTGCTTGGAAAAAGTTTTTCTCTGTTACTCATTAACCTACAACCTTATCAAGGTGGGAGTGAAGAATTTGTTTCCAGCATGGAAACCAGCAGTCAAACTCAGCAGAAATACTTACGTCACTCTTCCTGAACTTTGCTTTTAAGCTCTTCATGCTGATCACATTCAACCTTCCAAACCTTTGAGAAGCTTTTTATCCTTCTTCAATATCTAAACAAAAAAGAAAGAAAAATAAGATTCCAACTTGATACTATTCAGTTCACTGGCAGCCAAGTCTGAGTTGAATTTGCATACCTATATCACTCTTTGAGGATTTAGCCCTCAAGCTCTAAAAAAGATTAACAAACAGCTAAGGGCAACTTTCTGTTTCTCCAAACTTAAAAGCAAGCCTAAGTCTGACCACAGAAGAATACAGCAAATCACCAAAAACTCAAGGGTGTATCATGTTATACTAGCTACCTCTCAACATAATTAGATCACCGACATGTTCATACATGCAGCAGCATTGTCTGCCCACTGCCTATTTTAACATATCACCAGGACAGCCACTTGCAAAGCGGGTAAAGCAGAAATAGGCATGCAAATTCATTAAAACATCACTATCCTACAACCATGGGTCTGTACTTGGTAGCACAAGTACCACCACTATTGTATGTGCAAGTCTAACCACCAACCAAATTCAAAATTATACTTAAATCATGCATGACAGATACTAGGACAGCTCAACACAACGCAGATAGAACCATATGAACAAGATCAGAGGTTATCACTAGAAGAACTGTTTCATACTCTTCCCCATAAGAAATGACATGTATTTGTGGAGTGATAGCTGTTTTTGACAGTGCACTACCACAGCCAGTCATGTTCCTCCTTCCTCCCTTTCGAGTGAAGAAAAGCAGCAGTTGCACAAGCATATACAACTATATACAAGCTGCAATCTCTCACAGGGGAAATGGGAGCCAGTGCTTAGGGCAAAGTTTCCTACAGAAAGCTTCAATATACCACATATTACCAGTCCAAGACAAATGTAACAGTGAACAGCATGTTAAAGTAGCATAGCAATGTCTTTTTTTCCTAGACCACAGCAGAAAAGCCTAATGAAAGACCAACATACATCTGGATCGAGCAAAGCCATCTATGCAAAAATGTTCCAAATTTCTAGTTTTACAGTCCATTCACTGGAATAGCCAGTCCCTCTCATCTACCAGGTTTAGCTGCTATATAAATTCCTTCTGAAAGAACAGTTTAAAGTAAAGGATGTTCAGCTGTATAAACTTCCTCCCTCCACCCTAGAAAAAAATGAAAAAAAATATTTCGAGTCTAGCCAGAAAAATAAATAACTGAAATGAGGACTGGAGCATAAATTCAAATAGGTCATGCAGGGTCACTAATGTTTCACATCACTCTTCAGAAACAGCAGACTACAGTTCGATAAGCAAAGTGAGATTTCATAAAAGAAAGTCTCTTAATATTATGAAGCAAGTTTCTATGTTCGACATGACGACTCTGCAATGAGTTTTAAAAATGCAACTACACAATATTCTTTGGCTGAATATATATGAATGCTTCCACAAAATACTGTGCTAAGTACCATTCAGCAATAGCAACTAGTGCTAAGTAAACATGTCATTTAGTTCAACCTCATATTTTGACAGCCACTTAAGACAAACACAAGTACATTTCTTCAAAACCTCCAAACAAACAAAAAAATCCCATAGACTATATACACAGAAATACATTTCCCACAGAACACACACCTTCAGTAGGTAATCCGGATGGGATAATTCTGTAAGCTGTTAAAATATCATTAAATCTAATTAATTGCCTCTAAGTCTAATTAAACAGTCATTCTGAAGTCATATCAGATTCCTGACTGCTTTCAGGTATATCAACAAGAGCTTTCATTCAAAGTTCTTGCTTTCCATCTCAAGGAGAATGGGCTTGTGGCATTTTGTTTAATTCTTTAGCATGCAAAAGGAAAAGGAAAAAAAAAGAAGCTTTTCACTTTGCAGAACCTTTTCATTCCCTGGCTTAAGTGAGAATTTCTTAGCTTTTTCCTGAACTGAATGGAGTATTTGTAAAATACTAACAAAACATTTTTTTTTAAAAAGCAAGATTTGAACAATCAGAAAGAAGGAATAATTTTAGGTTGCGCTGAGAGAAGCATATCACTTTATTTCTACTACAAGTACTCAGACTTTCTCCAAAGTGTTTAGATTCTACAACAGCTGTCATAACCTGCACTGGAAAGGAGTGTGAAGGTCAGCAAGAGCCAAATAATCTCCTAAATAGTTCTCCAGCAACACCACGGACGGCGAGCATTGCAAAGACCAGAAATGCCAGGGTACAGACAAGACAGATGCCCTTACACTTATCTGGCCTTATACACCTATCCTACCAGCATAAAAAAAAAAAAAAAAAAAGGAGAGAGAGAGAATGGAGGACAAAACCCAAACTGTTTTTTTACCCACAGTTTAAAGGCACTTTAATTAAGCTGAGAAACATCACATGGCCCACAAAATCCAAAACTTAACAGGACTTTTTATTTTAAAAGTTAAACATATTTGGCTAAAAAGGTAAACAGTTTAATTAGACCACTTAAAATATAAAGAAATTCTGTGCATGGTGAGTTGAAAACAAGAAATCTTTCCTCACCCACAGATTTCCAAAGAATTGTCTGCTATAGTCTGTCTTTTCCTTTCCCACCCCCTCAGCTTTTTTGGCTCCCATGAATGAAATATTTGTTACAGCTCCCATGGAAGTTAAACTACAGGGCTACAGGGGAGATGACAACTCCTTGCAGGTGTATGCACAGGACAACTGCAAAGCTGGACTCGCTTCTGTGAGGAACCTGTCTAATTAACAACCTTTGCATGCACTCTTAATATGCTACTTTTCCCCCTCTTGAGGAAGGAAGGAGACAGGTGAGCTCTGTTTCTTTTAGAAGCCAACTTATTTTTCCCACAGGATACTGCACCTCTTGTATAAGTGCTTTTTATACACTGAATGTGAAACTCAAGTCCTCAGCACGATTAAAAAAGTATGCACAAGCACACAAAAATGGAATTTCCAAGTCTAGTGTGTCACATCTGTATTTTTTCCATAAGAGACAGTTAAACACAAACATTAAGATGACAGCTTGGGCACCATAATGACCATAATCCTTCATCTGTAGAGATAAAAACCTGTGAAGCAGCAATGACTGTCTTTTCTTGGCACTGTTTAAAGGAGGAAGTCACCTCTCAAGGGTTTAATTATTGGAATTGATGCAAAAGAGGTCATCCTCCTGATGCAGCAGAGCTGTATGACAACTGTCCGTTTGCTAGAGGGGGGGTAAAAGGAAGCACCATTAATATACTCCTGTTTTACAAGATAGGAAACGACTACTAGAAATTCACTAGGGAGCATCAAGACACTTCAAAACAGTATTTCTGCAATGAATCACAGGTATTAACAAGAAGTAATCTCTACTGGTAGTGGCATTTCTCTGCTTTCAGAACGAATGTGATGATAAATACTGAGCACTGACATTTTGTAGCTACAGCAAGTTACAAGCAGAGAAGTGCTTAACTCCAGAGATTCTCAACAGCTAATGCTGATCACATGCTTTTAACCAATAGCTCCAAAATTAAATACCTAGTGTTCTACCTCATCTTCCTTCAGCTTAATGCTAAGAAATAGCTTTCAGGAATACAAGCCACAGAAAAGATCTTTAGGTTGGTGGTAAACCTATCTATTTAAAACAAGAGACACTGAAGTAATGTTCAGCCTCAAAAGTGTCATTGAAACTGTTTTAATACACAGTACAATCTTCGGGTTTAAATGTAGGAAAGAGATTAGGATAATCTTCCCCACTGATTTACAACAAAGATTCGTGCAAACCACAGCAAACAATGCTACTGACATCTTTTTTCCTTTCATTAAATTGCATTAAAATCAGAGCAACACCTTTTCAAACAATGTTACAACTCCTTGAACAGCCAAAGATCCGGTGATGCAACAGTAAAACAGCCTTCATTTTACCAACTAAAACTACAAGTTTACAGTAAGAACGTACATTAGGCACATTGTTCATGCCAATGATAGTTACCCTTTACTGATAAGTGATGAATTCAATTAATTTAGGTGTCCAAAATCTTGCACCTTGTTCAGAACACCCTGAGAAGCCTCCATCTCAGAGAGTGCTCTTCTGTAGCAAAGCACAAGTCATGCCATCAACTAATTTCCCCCTCTCATCCCAAAAATACTTCCAAAAAAATTTTTTAACCTCACAAGGCTACAGAAAAGAACTAGAGACTCCATGTTATGTAAAGAGGAAAAAAAAGAAAAATGGGTCTGGAAGAACACCATTGCCACCATACACTTACGTCCCCTTTGTGTGAATACATGGGAAAACAAGGGGGCCCACAAGTGACTTCTCCCAAAGCACACAACCAGCATATATTCTCTGATCACTTTCTAAACCACAAGCTCTGCTTGTGATACCGCTGCCTTTCTCTACTTTCAATCTCCCCGTCTCTAAAACAAAAAAAAGGCCCCACCTTGCATGCACCTCAAATTTGAGACCATATTCTCTGGTTTGATCAAACATAAGATACATGGCAGTCCTGAAGACTTTTCCATGTTCAATGCTTAGTCCAACAGGGCTAGACTGGAACTGAAGCATCCAGCTACAACTAGAAATAGAGAAAAATGACCCAGAAGCACAAGCCTTTGTGGCAACCAGCACTGCAGATCAGCCAGAGGCATCCACACTGCTAGCGTCTCTTCTGCTGCCCACCTTCAGTACCCAACTTTTCAAATGCTTTCTGTGCCTGAGCTTCCCTGACCTACTACCCAATACCAAGAACATGCCCATACCCAAGCTTCTCCTTAGCATTGCCAAAGCCACAGGACCACCTGGAGGCATTAGCCATTGAGCAGCCTCTTCAGTTGTTCACACATAAATGCAGAAAGCCCTCGCTGTCCTAAAAAAACCCACTCTACACTTGATCTCTGACTACCTTCTCATTTCCATCCAGTTGAGCATATTTTTCTCTATTTCTCAGGCCAAAGCAGAGAAGCATGTATGATGTGACCAAATGCAAGGGGAACATTCCCCCACCCTTTATCAGCACAGCTCAGTTTTTCCATCTTGAGTAACCCATCCTCCTATCATAGCAAAAGTCAACTGGAACACAATTTTTTTAAACTTAATGTCACCTATAAAGG